AAGAACATGGTGGAGGGGACTGGACTTCAGGAGGCACACTGGGGAGCAGCCTGTTTTCTGATTTTTATATTCCCCCCTTTGCAGTGGTTGCTTGACACAGGAGAAGATAGTTGCAGGATATGCAAAATGCTTCATCGTTATTGCTGATTACAGGTAAAAATATTGCTATTCATTATCCCTCTCTGTCCCGTGGGAGGATTCGGATGGTCCTGTGTTAGGCCTTTATTGTCCGTCCAGTGGGCCAGGGGAGCAGGAATAGGTGGAAATGAGCCTGACTCCCAGTGCTTTAGCAATTCAATTTAGCTCTTTTTCTTAATTTTCAACTCAGCAAGCCTGCTTAGGAGTCAGCAGAGCTTGTGGGGAAATGGCTGCTCTGCTCTTTGAGCTCAGTGATTGTCAGCATGCAGTACACTTTCCCTTCTGCACATACAGCTGTGGGGGCTGTAGAAAAAACAACTCGTGTCCTGCTGGTCCAAAACATGTCAAAACAGGGCTTATGAGTGAATAGAGCATCGTGCATTAAACTGGTTCTTCCTACATGTGTATACATGTGAACTGACCACTCTGCCCTCCAGGCCTGAGGGGTTTGCAAGAGGTAATGTGATAATGTTAACGGTGTTAGCAATGTGATGCCTGACACTAATCCCACCTCAAACCGTGTCCTCAGGAAAAAATCAAGGAGCCTCGGGGAGCAATGGAAGAAGGGAATTCCTATCGAAGTCATCCCCATGGCTTACGTCCCCGTCACCAGAGCCCTGACCAAAAGCTTTGGAGGTGCTGCGGAGCTGCGGATGGCTGTTAGCAAAGCGGTACGTGTCCCTGGTCAGCCCCGCTTCCCAGGAGGAGCCACCTGAATGTGGGCAAATGGAGGGCGAGGGGTCTGGCCTTGCATCTAATTAAATCTGGGCTTTCACTCCCGCGGGTGGCATCTTGTGTAATTCCCCCTAATTATACTTTGGTTAATGAACTGTGTGTTTAGGTGTTCGGGCTGCTCCTGGAAAGCCTCTCTGGCTTATGTCTCCTAAAGCAAGCATCCCTGAGCAGGAAGGGGAGGGATTGCCGGCCCAAGGTCTGCCTGACCTGCTGCTCTGTGGGGATGCTGGGGGGCTGGAGGGCAGCCTGCGCTGCCAAAGAGGGTCTGGAGTTGGGGGGGCAGCTCACACTCCATGCCAGGCTCCTCCGTGCCACACAGAGCCAGGCTAAATTAAAAGTGAAGCTGCTTTGTCTCCGCTGCCACCGTCCTATCCTGGCTTGGGCAGCGGGGCTTCCCCAGCCCTCGTTGCATGGCAAGGGAGAAGGAGGGCTGCCTGCAGTGACGGCTGGAGTTAAGGCCTGGAAGCTGAGTACTTGTTTTTAATGCATCTAATCCCCAGAGGCTGTAGGGACCGCATTTGGGTGCCCGAGAAGAGCAAACCAGTCTTTCTCTGTAAACTCGAGACCAGCCTTGCTTGGGGAGCACACGTCGGTGCTGCCCCAGTGTGAGCTGTGTCCTTGGAGGATTCCGGCGCTTCCTGGCACGTGTGGCTGCAGACCCCGCTCAGCGCTGCTGGAATGCCTCGTCCGCAGCCCCAGCTGTGTCTGCTCTGTTGGAAGGACCCAATTGCTCCTTCCGTTGGTCTTGAGAGAGTGCTGGGCACCTCTGGGATGCTGAGGGCCAGCAATTCAATTCCAAAACCTCCCCGTGGCATCCGGCAACACGCTGGGATGGAGGGGGGTCACTGGGGCAGAGGGATCTCTCTGTTGTCTGCCTGGACTTCAGCAAAGTCTTCAACACTGTCTCCCACAGCATTCTCCTGGAGAAGCTGGCGGTTCATGGCCTAGATGGGTGTACTCTTTGCTGGGTAAAAAACTGGCTGGATGGCCAAGCCTGGAGAGTTGTGGTGAATGGAGTTAAATCCAGCTGGCGGCTGGGCACAAGCGGTGTCCCCCAGGGCTCAGTTCTAGGGCCGGTCTTGTTTAATATCTTTATCAACGACCCAGATGAGGGGATTGAGTGTGCCCTCAGTAAATTTGCAGATGACACCAAACTGGGTGGGAGTGTCGATCTGCTCGCGGGGAGGAGGGTTCTGCAAAGGGACCTGGCCAGGCTGGATGGATGGGCCGAGACCAACTGTATGAGGTTCAACAAGGCCAAGTCCCGGGTCCTGCACTTGGGTCACAACAACCCCAGGCAACGCTACAGGCTTGGGGAAGAGTGGCTGGAAAGCTGCCTGGTGGAAAAAGACCTGGGAGTACTGGTTGACAGC